ATCGCATCTTGCAGCGCCTATATATTTAAATTAGCAAAGAAATATCCAGAATGTTCAAGTAAACACGCGGAAGATACCGAGCGTTCGAGTTTCGACTAGGCGCTGTCAGTTGAGTGATTTGTGATGTCATTTTCTCAATGCTCCCCTCGCTCTCGTTCCTGACACTAGATGGCGCTAGTTGACTTATTCATGCAACAATACTATATCAACATGGGACTTCCATGTTAACATACTATCTCAAACCTAAGAAATGTTTGCTATTAGTTTTACCAATATTTTTTGTCAAAGTGATGTAGTGTTTTGGCAGATCTTTTTCCTTGAAAAGTCATGCATTTACTCTAATTTAAATTAATTTGAGATTATTAAGTTCAACCAATCAACTATTGTATTAAATGTCTCATTCATTTCATTATTTAAGAGAGTCAAATCTGTAGTCAAGAAAAGGACAGTACAATCATTTGCAAAAAGTGTCATGGAGAAGTTGGTGACTAGAAATAAGTCGTTAATATATGCAATTAAAAAGAACGGACCAAGAACTCTTCCGTGGTCAACATCACAACTCACAGTTCTGGATTCAGAGAAATGTAGGATTTCCATATTTGTTTTCTTTTAATCTATGCTTTTTATTATTGCCAATAAATATATATTTGTTTATTAAATAAAAGAACATAAAAATAATAGATATGCTAACCCCTTTAACCTCTCAAACCCCAAATGGTCAGATCTGACCACAAATCCCAAGTGCACCCACATACAGAACTTTAACCCATAAATACTTATGTTTAGAGACTACTTTTCTATAAAGAAGTTTGGCATTATAGAATCAATATGAAATTTTCTTTACTCTAGTGGAATAAAAAGTCAGTTAGTCTATGGATATTTATTTATAATCTATTGTTACGAGCTTGAGGTTCGTGACAATAAAAATTGCCGATAAAATTACCTAAATTAACACTTTAATTTACTTTACACAAATTAAAGTTAAAAACACTAATAATTAAACACACTTATTCACTTTATTCCGCTCCGAAGCTTCGCTTGTTTCGCCAAATCAACACTACTCCGATCGCATCTTGCAGCGCCTACTTATTTAAATTAGCAAAGAAATATTCAGAATGTTCAAGTAAACACGCGCAAGGTACCGAGCGTTCGAGTTTCGACTAGGCGCTGTCGGTTGAGTGATTTGTGATGTCATTTTCTCAATGCTCCCCCTCGCTCTCGTTCCTGACACTAGATGGCGCTAGTGTATCGTCGACTTGAGCGCGTAACACTGCCCCCTCCTAAGACATGCTCGTCCCGAGCATTATCGGCCCCATAATAACGCACCAAGCGATTCACATGGACGATCTTAGGAGTCCCTCTTGCGCCTTTCTGTAACGGCTCCGCAATGTCTAGGGCTGTCCTATCCCATGGTGCACCAACATTGTACAATTTCGGTGCTCCTCTACTACGTGTCCGAGGTCCCCGCACGGCCGCACAACTTGTACATGTACGACACCAATCCTCGACATCGTCACGATAATGGACCCAGTAAAACTGTTCTCGGACCTTCAGTAGAGTTCGTTTAACTCCCAGATGGACTCTTGAACGACCATTATGGCATAACTGTAGAACATTCGGTACTTTAGCTTTAGGGACAACCATTTGCAAACGACAGCTGTCTCTTCGACCATTGTCCCATTTACGGTACAGGAATCCATCCTGAATCAGCAAGCTGTCCCATTGGGCCCAATAGCTTTTCGTGGTTGAACTCATCACTGAGACATCCCTCCACTTAGGCTTGGTAGCACGGGCCTTCATCCATCCCAGAATCGGCTTGATGTCCAGATCTTCCTGCTGTGCATGTCATAGGTTGTCCTTCCACCTGTTGCTGAGGTGGTCTGTCCTGAGCATCCTCACGGATACCACCTCCTTACTCTCTTGCCTACTACAATGGTTGCAATCTTCAGGACAAGGTCTTCTTGACAATACATCTGCGTTGCCGTGAGATTTCCCCGCTGCAGTGTCTGATAGTAAAGTCGTATTCCTGCTGCTGCTGGGCGGTGCTGTTAGCCGCACTTCCTTTCTGAGACCGTTCACCTTCCCTTCGTAGGGTGTGCTCAGAGCAGCTGGACCGAAGATGGCCCCTTTCCCCACAGCCATAGCACCTAGGGCTGTATCTTTTATTGTGGTCGCGAACCGTAACTGCTGTAACCTCCCTAGCGTGAGGTGAACGATGATCCTGTCGCCGCCAGGCAGTGTCGTTAGCTGCACTACCCTCTCGAGATCGATCAACTCTCCTTTCCACGGTTCGCTTAGGGCAGCTGATTCGAAGATGGCCTTTTTCCCCACAGCCATAGCACCTAGGGCTGTATCCTTTGTTGCCGTCGCGAACTGTAGCTGCCGCAACCTCCCTGACGCGATGGGAACGATGATCCTGCCGCACGGCTTCCACTTCCAGTGCATGGGCCAAGGCGTTCTTAAGCGTCTTGTGGTGTCCGAGCCTCACAGCAGCTCTGACTTCCAGGTCGCGGATGCCGTCGATGAATGTCTGCACCAGGTTCCCTTCAATGAGCGCAGGTACAGACCGGTATGCTTTCCGCACCAGCTTCTCCACCTCTAGAGACCACTGCTGCAGGTTTTCGTTGATGCGCTGCACGCGATCTTTAAGCTGCGCACGAAAGACATGTTCCAGGTGAGCGTCGCCATATCTCGCCTCCAATGCGTCAAGGAGTTGCTCATAAGTCACTTCCTCCCCGAGAGCTTCCAGTACTGTTAAGGCCTGGTCGCGCAGGCCTAGTGTGAGAGCAGTCATTGCCTGACTGTTATTCCAGCCGTTCGCCTTCATAACAGCCTCGAACTGGATTTTGTAGGCTGACCAGGAAGAAGTCCCGTCCGAACGGTAGCACTTTGAACCCACGTAGCGAAGGTGTAGTAGCTACTACGGGAGTTGTAGTTCCATCACCCAGTTTGAGGTCGTCCAGCGTTTTCTTCACGTCAGCCACCACGTAATCAACGATTTCGATATTAATCGACATAATCAGTCGATTTATCATGTTGAGCAACCTTATCCTTCACCTCCTTTATCTCTTTCCCAAAGGTAGCATGAAGGTCCTTAATGAGGAGCATCTGCTCTTCCGACCGACGGGCCTGTTCCTCCTGTCGGCGGGCCTGCTCCTCTTGTCCGCCCCGCAGCTGCTCTTCCAATCGGCGGGCCTGTTCCTCCTGTCCGCTCTGCAGCTGCTCTTTCAACTGACGGACCTGTTCCTCCTGTCGGCGAGCCTGTTCCTCCTGTCGGCGAGCCTGTTCCTCCTGTCGGCGAGCCTGTTCCTCCTGTCGGCGAGCCTGCTCCTGCAGCATCACCATCAGAGCACCTAAGTCAGGTGCTGCAGATGTAGGAGCTACCGACGGGCCTGCAGCCGGTGGCTGGCCCTCCGACGTCTGCGGCGTTGCACCACAAAATCTTCGTTGGTCCATCTCCTGCTGGCGTTGACTTCGGGTACGGACACCCTCCGTTTCCTACTTAGGTAAAATCGGCATGATTTTATCCCACTTCTGACACCAATTGTTACGAGCTTGAGGTTCGTGACAATAAAAATTGCCAATAAAATTACCTAAATTAACACTTTAATTTACTTTACACAAATTAAAGTTAAAAACACTAATAATTAAACACACTTATTCACTTTATTCCGCTCCGAAGCTTCGCTTGTTTCGCCAAATCAACACTACTCCGATCGCATCTTGCAGCGCCTACTTATTTAAATTAGCAAAGAAATATCCAGAATGTTCAAGTAAACATGCGCAAGGTACCGAGCATTCGAGTTTCGACTAGGCGCTGTCGGTTGAGTGATTTGATATGTCATTTTCTCAATGCTCCCCTCGCTCTCATTCCTGACACTAGATGGCGCTAGTGTATCGTCGACTTGAGCGCGTAACACTATGTTCATTTCGTACCCCATTTTCATGTGAATGTTATTGCGATGATTTTTAGATTTATCTAGTGTTTTATTATAATGCTTTATTGTAAAATTCTAATGAAAGTTTTTGTGTGAATATAATTTATCTTTTTACATAAATAAATTCGAGTAATATATAGAAGTAATTGTGATTTTCACGCTGCCGACATTTGCTTGGTATGTTTTTTTTTTGTTATCAAAATACAATAAAATCTTTTTGTATTGAAGTAAAACCTGACTTTTGTTTAGACCACAGGATAGAGAATTTTGTATAGATTTGATAATGCCAACTTCTTCAAAGAAAAGTAGTCTCTAAATATAAGTTTTAATGGTTTAAAGTGCTGTGGGTGCGTGCGGTCGCATATGGCCGTTCTGGATTTGACGGATGCATGCAACTGGATGGGATTTTTATGGGGATTGATAGGTTAAGCATTTACAATCACACACACACACACAAGCATGCTTTTTTCATTTGCATACATCAAAATTAGATCATAGATATCCTTGCTTGTCTTATCTCAATATTTTATATTATTACGAAGAGTGGTGCCTCCTGACACAGGTATTCTTTAATACTTGCTAGGAGGCTCCAATTACTATATTATTTAGTATGCCTTGAGAAAGGAGGAAATAAATTTTCATTTTCACTGATTCATTTACAATTAAATAGCTTAATTCATATTGATTTTAAGATGTATAAGTTTTATATACAGCAGGCACACAAAATTAAAAATATATCATTGCCAGTGTTGGGCGACCTCCCGTACTTACCCTGTCACCAGGCGCGTAAAAAAGTAAGATGGCTGGGCACATCAAGGGTACAAGAAGTTTAAAAAATGTATACACCCATTTTTTAAAGTTTTTGTACCCTAATTTCAATTTATGGGAGGATGCAAGTGACTTAGAAACATACTTTTTGGCATTCCCTGGGGGAAACCTATGTTGAGCAGTGATTTTGTGATGGGCTGTATTGATGATGATGATAATGAACCATATTCTTTAAGCCACCAAAGACTATATCAATTAAATTGTGTAGGAGAACTGTTTGCAAGTTTTCTTTACCTGAGCCATTCGGTCCGATGACAGCAGTAAAAGATTTTAATGGACCTATTCGGTGATGACCCCGATAGGATTTGAAATTCTCCATATCTATGTATTTCAAAAACGCTGGCATTTTGATACAGTATAATCACATTCAGAATAATAAATAACTTCTGTAACACCACAATATAAAGCGCCAAAATTTACATCAACAAGTCAAGGTGTCAAGCAAGTCAACAATAGGGATGATCGATGACCATCGATGTTCGATGATCATCGATGTTAGAAATTAAAACATCGATGTTACCATACCTTAAACATCGAAACATCGATGTTGCCACATGTCAAACATCGATGTCAATGAACCAATAATCGATTAATAACAACTAGTGAACAATGCGAACTCGCGAAATCAATATGAACTAAATATTTCATCTCCTATATAAGGTTTAAAATTTTGAATAATTAAGGATTCCTAAATGCATCGATCACCTAAAAAAATATCATTATGTCACTTCATGAACTATGCTGGCAGCACTTGGTATTCTATGAAAATATTCAGAAAATACGAGTTTAACGATAGTATGACGTTGAAAGTATTGTTACGAGCTTAGGTTTCGTGACAATAAAAACTACCGATTGAATTACCAAAATTTACACTTTTATTAGAGAACGCCAATTAAAACTTAAATCACACTAATAATTAATCACACTTAACACTTTAGTTCACTTTATTTCGCTCCGAAAGCTTCGCTCGTATCGCCAATTCAATACTGCCCCGATCGCGGCTTGCAAGGGCTTTTTATAGGCATTTTCCAACGAAACATGCAGAATATTCCAGCAAATACCGGCACCGACCGACCAGATGCAGAAAGTTTGAGTGTGGGGCTTTCTAGAAAGCTTAGTTCTTCTATTCGATACTAGATGGCGCAGTTGGTGAAAAGTTCAGGAATGGCATTTTCTAGAAAGCTCTCCTCGCTCTGTTCCCCGACACTAGATGGCGCTAGTGCCAGGTACCAGACATCAACTTAGGCGCGCAACAGTATTCACAGATGAAAAGTCACGTTATCCTTTTGTAGATTTGACGGTTTAGATTGCTTTTTGCATGAAAATAGACTGCAAATCCGCATTTTTGTCTGTAATCACTTGCGTAATGGCGCCCTATGCGGAGTTACTAATTTTATATAACGACTATGAGTCGGACTCTCGTGGAGAGTTATTTTTTACAGAGGGTTATGCCTTGCGGTGCCGTCTCCTTTGGTTTAATACTCAAAGGTTTTTACTTTTTTAAACACCCATATCCCTGACTATATTATAGTCGTATAGAGAGAATGAACTAACTTCCTCTACGATTATAGTATATAGTTATCTGTCATCTGTGCCCATACCCAAAGCCCTACGAGGTTTTGGTGGGAACTTGGTCGTCGACGGATTGTCGCTCCTGTTTTGTCACTTGAATAGTGGTTTGAAATGGATTTTGATTCGTAAAAGTGATGTGATTTTGTAACTTAAATGTTTGCGCATATGAACTATTAGAGAAAACGACAAAACAAGTGTTTTGATGTTGATATAAACCTCAAGTTAATTTGATCGCTTGGGCGCCTTATGAACTTGAGTGGCTGCCGTCATCAACTGTCCGCTGGGTTGAGCTATCGTCAAAAACTCCCAAAAACTTCGCAATGTGACACATCAGCATATTGTAAAGAAAAAATATATAAAAATGAAGATTCCGAAAGAAATGATAAGATTAGACGGGCTAAAACCCAGAGCCAAAAAGCTAGTTAATAAAAAAAAACAAAGCCCGACCTTTGACTATATATAGAGATATAGATATTTATAGAGAAATCTCTAGTCAAAGGAGGGTCAACCCACAAACACCTTACACAAACTAAAGGCCTAAACAGTGTTGCCACTTTAGTAATTTTGTCACTAGATTTAGTGAGTTCTTGGAGATAGTGATATTCTGGAAAAAAAAATCCCAAAAAACTTATTTTATGACTTTTAGTGATATTTATCAAGTCTTAAAGAATTTACAAATTATATATTGACAATCCTCTTTACCTGTCGGTGAATTCCCCAGTTCATTACAAAATAGCACTATCCTTTTTATCGCATAACAAAAACGTGATTAGTCTTTGTTAGGTTATGACGCAGAAATCGCAATAATAAGACAATAGAAATGCCTTCTATTGTCTTTTAATATCGGGATGCGTGTCGCCAGGTCGTAGCTCTCACACATAGACAAACAATAAATACACAGTTACGCCTACAAATATCTCTAGCATTCATGCAAGATCAAAGATTAATATATAAACTATTGCGTTAAGGAATATTTTATAAAAACGCAAAATCTCAGGAGGCGTAGTCACTCAGTCCAATAATTAAAGTGTGCGAAAAACAGAGAGTGACATTGCGCCCTCGCTCTCACTTGGGCATAGTGCAGCCCAAGGCACGTTTCGATAACTTTCTATTAAGCGTCGTTGATCTTCCAGGAGTCTCACACCAAGGTATAACTAATTAACTGAAATTGTCTCAGTAACAGACGCTTTTAGTCTTAGCTTTAGCTTTTAGACGTTTTATAATTAGAAACAAAGGGGAAATAATAATACGTTAAGAATAAATATATCCATTTATCTTTAATAGCCGGATCTTTTGGAAAGTTGTAATAAAAGCATTATTAAATAAACAAATGTATAAATAAAATGAATACAACATTACACAAACAGCAAACGAATAAATATATGTATGGGTGACATATTTATCATTTTTTATTAGTTTTAAAGATCTGTAACTGACTTTCTGTTGATTGCTATTTTTTAGTTTCCCGGCTTCTTACAGATCGTATTAAGACTACTATCCTTACAATATAGTTACTTATCCTTACAATATAACTGAATAAAAAATGATCTAGTAATTTAAAATTATAAACAAACAGATAATCGCCGATAAACGGTTAACGGTATAAAATATTTAGAAAGAAAAAAGTAGAAAGGTGTAAATAAATATTTAACGAAAAATCACATTTAATTCCCGTTTCGTTAAAACTAGGTAAGCCAAACATAATAAATTATCGATACAAAATAGTTGTGTCACGTAACTGACTCGCATTCGACTCCTGCGGCCATATTCTGGGAAATTTCCGTACGCAACAATTTTGTTTATTGCCTATAGCTGCTTAGGAATGAAAGGATATTGAAATGTGAAAACAATTAAAATTTTGGAGACAATCGTAGTACTGGAGTTGAATAATTTTATTTGAGCATATTTCATTAAACACAACATTATTTAAAACACTAAGTACTTATTTATGAAATGTTATCCCTTTATTTGAAAATTTGCAAGTTGTGGAGGAATTTCCGCAGTTGGATATGCTTCAAAACACCATTTTACGTCTCTGCGTCCGAAACAGTACTGGTAAAAGAAACAAACGCTCCTCGCGCGCATGTGGCCTACGAGTCACATGTACGGCGACAAGGTCACGCGCTTTTTCGACTTTTATATATATTTAGATTTCTGTGGGTTATGCTAACCTACTTCGGAGATTTTCCGACTAATAATGAAACCTAACACGTATGTAAAGTTTCTTTCAGTGAGTGCTGAATACTGTTGCTTGTATTTAGCCAGTTGCTAGTCTTGGTTCGAAAAAGTAAAAAGTAGGTAAAATAACGATGAGTAGTTTTAGTATTGAAATCATTCGATTTCTGATGTTTTTGTGAAGTGTCTATAATTTATTTTTATCCGCATTTCTAGCATTAGAACTACTGAGAAACGCGGATGCTCGTGAAATTTTTACTGCTTTGGTAAACTGTTTACATGGTCTTCTAATAAAAACTTTATTGGAACTGGGGTTTATTGGAACTCTGTCATAACTCGAATAAATAATTGCGTATCTAATGTAATTCTAGTCAAATGTGTTTACCACTCGCAAACGTTACCACGAAATATATCTTTTACATTAGAGAAATTTATAATTGGTTCTCACATTAACTCAAACGCTGGGATGAGTACAAAGATACTTACTTATGAGACAGTAAATTGTGGCGAGAATACTTTAAAAACATTGCGCTCTGAGCTGCGAGCAGGATACTGTCTCAATTTTATATGTTATGTTTTTTGTCATTACTTTCACAATTAAAGTAGTATTTTATTACCTACCTTGTAATTTGATTTTAAATAATTTGGTGGATTCTAGGGATTTTTTTAGTTAAAAATATCCCAAAATCTGATGAAATTTCAGACCATAACTAGTGATAAATTTTTCAGCAAGGTGGCAACATTGGGCCTAAACAAACCCAAAGAGACAAAAGTTTGTTTGTGTGCGTAGCACAGAGTACTTTTTTATATAGGGAAGTGCGTAGTGCCCTCTTCGTAGACAGAGAAACCTATAGACTAATGATCGGCGTAGCCTCGAGTGAGAAAGGATGATAACGAATTTTTAGGTTATACAATAATCTTTATGACTTTTAAACACATTTAGATAAAAAATTTAATTGTTCTAAGAACTGAACTGAACAAGATTCACCAATCTTAGGCTCACAAATCACTTTTTTCTCACTTAAACCATCTTGTAAACTCCTTAAATCGCTACGCTTTCAAAGTTGTTTAGCAAACTGTAGAGTTTGCTAAACAAAAAAACCGGCACGGTGAAAGGGACAAACAATCACACCGCTCTATCTCATTTCTATGCAAGACGTATGCATAAATCTATCTTTTTCGTGTGCGAATGCGAAAGAAGCCGTCAATTTGTCTATAGGTTTCTCTGTCTACGGTCCTCTTAGTAGTCTGTGGATGCGTAGTATCCTCTTAGTCACAGAGTACCTTTGTATAAACTGAGAACTGCGTCTCTTAGTGTTGCATAGATTACTGACTATGTACTAGAGAGTCTGTTGTGTGCATTGTGCAAACTGCAAACTTTACAAAGATACAAGACGAATTATCCTGCTCCTGCTCGGAATACTTATTACATCGTTTTTGTTTCACAATAGAAACTGCTATTATCAGGCGACCATGTTCTCTTCTCTCTTTGGTAAACGAAGATCATCGCCTGTGAGAGACGAAGTTCCACCAATTCCAGGACCCAAACCAGATGATGGTTATGTGATTGTCGACCCGTCGTCTCCAGGAAACAGCTTGTACCCCAATGTTAACGAAGTTCGACAACCAAGCAGACCAGCTCCACCGGCTCCCGTGCCGAAAGCATATGACCAGACTTTCCATTATCTTCAGGGCGTACCTTTCATGTTATCTCGGGAGTTACAAATGGCAAAGAATAAAGATGCCTTCGCAACTGAAATAGGAGATCTTCTTGCTTTTTTAACCAGCAAAATTAATATGAGTAGCTACAGTTATGACTTTTCTGTTGAAAAGAGTGTTTTAAAAGAGTGTTAAATCATTATCATATTGAAATATTTATCATTTTAAAAGTAAATTGTCGGTCTCCGTTTCTGCTGAGGAGTCTGTCTGGTTTGGTATCACTACTTTATCTATTTCTGCTACTGCCATGCTACTACAATGGGTGCCATTGTAATTCTGTTTGAAAAAGTGGTGAGTCATTGAGAGTTTCTTTGGTAAAATATTGTTTTCATGCAATGAAAAACAGGTTGAAAAAGTTGGTTTTTAATAGATTAAGATTATGGGTTTGTCTAAGTTGTAACTTTAAAACACTGTTTTTAATACATATTATTAATTAATGTCACTGAAAAATTAATAAGTTTTTGAAAAAAAATTATTTATTTACACTATTATATATATACACAAGTTAATAAAAAGGATTACATGGGATTGGCATTCTTTCTTAATCAACCTGATACATTGGAAGAATGTGATAGGTATACAATAGATATGGGCATTACTAAACACTAGTTGCAGAAGTTTTCAGAGTCTAAAGTTATAATTGCAATTTATTACAAGTGGTAAAATTAAAAATTTTGTACAACCTACTTCAGAACATCATAAATGTAGTCGAAGTCAATTAAATGGTATTTCTTTAGTAATCTGCCGTACGAATTTATGGTCGCCGAGTAGGCGGGTAGATGGGGGGAGGGGTAGGAACCTCCCCCTTACAGAATTAAGTGCCGGAACCCCCCCCCCCTTTTTATGAATTTTTTTAGTAATCTGCTGCATGAATATATGGTCACCGAGTGGGAGGGGGGGGGGCTGGGGTAGGAACCTCTCCCTAAAAGGAGGAAGTCCCGGAAACCCCTCTTTTTTTTGTAAAATCATAACCTTATTTTTTTATACAGGAATATTAACGCAGTTACTTCTGCAACGGCTTCGGCACTGCGGGAAGTGCAGCCCCTTTGCCCTTGCGTAGCAAATCGCGGGCACCTAAGCGAGCCGTAGCGGCTGAGGCTGGTCACCGAAGGCGACCAACAAGCCGAAGCTGCGGAGGCGAGCAGCGGGCGGGGGCTGCTCTCCCTCCGTGCCTACAGCTTTACAAAAACACTAGGGGTAGGGCAGACAAGTCTATGTGGAGTCAGGGTGTGCTAATTCGGTTTTAGAACCGATTCGACCTATTTTATCTATAAAGTCTAGTTGCTCTTAACTCTGCTACTAGAGTGGTAAATGAAATAATGTAATGTGAATTGTTATAATTTTGTTTTCCGATAAATCTCTTGACTGCTCTCCACTGCAACTGAATTTGTTGTATATAAGTCCCATCTCCAGCCACAAATGGATTGTCTGGGTCCGAGTGATTAACTTTTTTATGAGTGTATCTGTGTTAAAAAAAAACAAACTAACATATTTGCGTTTCGTTATATGTCATTTAAAGTGAAATTTATTTTTATCATAAGTAATTAATTCAAAAGGCATTTCTAAAATCCAAAAACAGTGTAAATGGTTAGAGCTTAACCCTGACAATCCTCCTAAATTGAAAACATAATTAAAAAATCAAGTATTGGAAATCTACTTCATAATACGAGAAAAAATTGACATTTACGCTATTTTTGGTGAAATTTGTTTTTATCGTAATTAATTCAAAATGCATTTCCGACATCTAAAAACAGTGTAGTAGGTTAATATAAATAATAAATATAATAAAAAAGGATTACCCCTAACAAGCTTTCTAGACGAAAAACATCAAGTACCAGATGTCTAGCCAACTCGATATAACCTCAAAACTTTAACTATCGATATCTCGAAAATAAAGATTTCCGGCATAAAAAGCAGCTAAATGGTAATTAATAGCATCATTGCCTGTCAACTAAAGCTAAAATAATCACTTAAATCGTGCAGCAGATTACTAAAGCCGACCCAATTAAATTATTAAGGATAACTCAAAACTATTGGTCAGATCTTGATCAAATTTATGTCGGACATGAGAAGCATCAGCTTTCAAATAAAAATAGAATCATCAAAAAATCAAAGTTCACCTAGAAAAAAGCTTAGAGGTAACATACAAAAAAAAAACAGTTCAATTGACTACCTCCTCCTTTTTTGAAATTGGTTAAAAATAAACTACTGCAGTTGTCAGAATCTTATTACATGTTGAAGTAATTCATACAGACACCAAACACAATAACACAAATTTATTAATTATTGAAATAAATATGTAGTTTTCAAAAACCATTATTAGTGATTATACTTAAACATATTTAGTATTAGTATTGCAGTTACAGGTACCAACCCACGTCTAATATAGAGCATAAATATGATTTTATGTTTAATTTTTGTATTTGAAATTTGCTTGTCAATGGTATGTCATTGATTGATAATGTATGCATTGCATCATAGACTTCTTATACTACTGCATGTGGATCGGGTCATTGAACAAATAAAATGGCACCGACTCCTCGGAGCAAAATTGCATAGAATACTATAATACACAATAGAATGGTTGTCAACTTTATTTTGTACGAGGATTGGTGTCGCTGGGAGCACACATACAAGCAATTACGTCGTATTATCAGTTATCACTACTACAAACCCGATTTGCTGTGATGACAGACAGATTTGACACAAATATTTCTTTATTTTTGTTTCTAATCACAAATTATAAATAGTTTCGACTTACTGGTGGTAGGATATGTCCACTTTATTTAACCCTTAACCACTTACCTCTGTTTTCTGTCACGTAACCACTTACGTGCGGTCATAGTGACCGCTCCAGAGTTATCGTCATGTTTATACTATAATCAGGTTAAAATCGGGAAGGATATTGAAAACTACATAGATATATACTAATACTATTTATTAAAACAAAAAAAATATGTTTTGCTCTGCCATTTAAAACCTAGTATTTTTTGCTAGCCTCTTAATTAACCCTTAAAAATTTTACTTCTTTAGAAAATGAGATTTGTAAAAAAAGTAACTTGGAAATTGTACTTATTGAGACTAATTTTAGTTAAATTAATAAATTAGTTACTTAGTGAAATCAAATCAATCAAAAAAAAAAGAGTTACATGTTTAAAAAAAAAATTGCAAGTACTAAAAGTTTAAATTTTTTCGCGGCAATTACGGCACATCTTTTGCGAACATTCTACGCATATTGGCTTTTTACATGCAAAACAAAGGTGAAATGTTTTACGTTTTTTTTTGGGGTCGCAGGAATAGATCATGCGAGTTTCTCAGCTTGTCAGCACCGGAACTGCTTGGTATTTCTTCTTCTACTTGAAGTATTCGGCCAATGGAACCTCTGATATCCCGCGGAATGTGTTCATTCGTTCTTCGTCGCTCCATGTGCGGTCGTGTTAACTGTTCTGCCAATTTTTTTATGAACCTGAATCTGCTTCCGGTCTTTTGCGCCTGATTAGACAAACTGACAAAGTAGGCGTTTGAAAGCGATATGTCCAACAATCTATAAAAAATGACCATTGGCCATCTTTGAGTACGACGCGACGAGCTGTAGAATAATTTGAACACCTTTGATCCAGTAAATCGACGCTTATTTTCGTTTTATTATAGTACATTTTTTAATATTTTCATCAACGCTTGCTATATGGTGCATGCTCGAAATCATAACAACATTCTTATTTGATACATAAGATGACAAAGTCATATCTTTGGTGAAACCGAAAACCGATGATTCAACTGTTCTTTTCTTAGATGCCTTAAATTCTGGTGGTATTTCGCGCTTGTTTTTTTTTTCAAAGTACCAACAAGAGTCAATTGTTTATCTTTCAAAACATTGACTAGTTCTACAGAACAAAACCAGTTGTCAGCCGTGATGTTTCTGTTAGTTCCCTCAATAACAGATATGAGACGTAAAACTGCTTGAGTTGGCTTCGATAGTCGCTGTTGTTCCGCAGTCAAAGTGAGCCCATCAGAACCTTTGCCTAAATAAATAATAATAATAATAATCGTAATAACATCGTCTTTTTGCTGAGCTGGAGCCATCTTTAACCGTCACAGAGCAAAACCTGGCAGACCGAGTTCGGTATATCTTGCGCTCAAATATATTTGATGTCGCCGAACTCGAACGGCTACGACGTGAGGCTGTTCCCTCGTCGGATGAGAATGCTACGGCTGAGGATGCGGCGCCACAAATGGTAGAGCAACCCGCAAACGTGGATGCCGCCGTGAATACCCCAGTTGTGGTTGATTCAAACGATGATGGAAGTCGCCCAGGAACTGGAATTAGAGCATATGAGGAGTACATTGGAAGAGGCGATTGTGGAAACGCGCAGTACGCCTCTCGAAAATCGACCGCGACTTCCCCCGCATAGCCCTAAGCAAGCGGAATCGGGCTGTCGTGAGGGCTCTGAACCCAATGCTGGTGACCTATTTGGAAGCCAGCCGGGACCTTTGCGAGACGGACTCAATTCTTTTTGGCGCCGCGCTGGCAGTCTGCCGTATCATAGGCGCCAAGGTTTCCACGGCTGGACGCGCTACTGGCCATAGTAGCGCTATCCCAGCATGGAGAAGAAGAATTGAGGAACGTATCGCAAAGGCTAGAGCTCTCATCGGCAGACTGATATGCTTCAGATCAGGCAACAACAGGCCAAGAATTGTGCGCACCGTCAGGATGGCGTTTGCTGGGACAAATGTCAGTTTGTCCCAGCCGGATATAACGCAAAAACTGACGGAGCGCATAGATGATCTGAAGCAGAGAATCGCTGCTTGGGGAAAACGGATTCGGCGATATACCGAGAGGTCGACACGGTTCAACCAGAATCGTCTCTTCCAGAGTGATCAGAAGAGGCTCTATGAATCATTGGAGCGACCAATGGTAAGTGGAACGGGTCCAGCACCGAATCAGGCCGACACTGTAGCATTCTGGCGCGGCCTGTGGTCAGAGCCCGTAAACCACAGCGAGGGCCCTTGGACGGAAGTTGTGGCGAGTCAGTGTGCGGGTATTACGCCCATGGACCCCGTCATCATAACGCCGGATGACGTAGCTGAGGCGGTCCGTAGGGCCCCGAACTGGAAAAAGTCCGGGGCTTGACGGGCTGCATCACTACTGGCTGAAGGGGTTCATGGTGTGTCACTCTGTGCTTGCCCGACAGTTTCAAGAGGCTCTCAACCAGAAGTAGCTCCCAAACCTCTTCACTACTGGGATCACTCATTTGGTTCCTAAAGACCAGGGTACCACAGACCCGAGCAAATACCGCCCCATCACGTGTCTACCGACCATATACAAGACACTAACATCCATTTTGAGCGCGAGAATCATTTGTCACCTGGACTCAAATCAGGTGATGTCGCGCGCTCAAAATGGATGTCGGGGCGGTGGTCGTGGAACCAAGGAACCACTCCTCATTGACGCGGTCATTGGCAAAGTGGTGAAACGCAACCGTCGGAACTTCTCCGCCGCCTGGATAGACTACAGAAAGGCATTCGACTCGGTGCCCCATACATGGCTAAAGAGAGTCCTCGAGCTGTACAAGATAGACTGTACAGTTAGAGACTTCCTTGAGCAGTGTATGGGGCAGTGGAGTACGATCCTTTGTCATCTGGGCGAGCGGATGATGGCTGCGGAGAACCACATAAGGATAAGAAGGGGTATCTTCCAGGGCGATTGTCTGAGTCCAATCTGGTTCTGCCTCTCTCTGAACCCTCTCAGTACCTTACTGGAGGGCTCCGGGAGGGGATTTCAGCTACGGAGAGGAGGGACAAAAGTGACCCACCTTTTCTATATGGATGACCTCAAGTTATTCGCCTCCAGTCGCTCCCATCTTATGGAATTGCTAAACATCACTTGTGAATTTAGCAATTCCATTGGAATGGAGCTTGGGACGGATAAGTGTGCGGTCCTCCATGTTGAAAGGGGAAGGGTTGCTAACTCTGAGGGCGTAGACTTATCTATGCCCGTCAACTTAAGGACCCTTTCCGAGGCTGAAACATACCGATACCTGGGTATGTCACAAAACATCGGTATCGATGAGACTGGTATGAAACAGTCAGTTTGCGACGTGTTTTATGCACGCTTGACCAAAGTGCTTAACAGCCTTTTGTCCGGTGTGAATAAGGCACACGCATATAACGGCTGGGTCATGCCTGTCCTCATGTATACCTTTGGCATACTCAGGTGGACTCAGACTGAACTTAACGCCTGGATAGAAAAGTCCGCACTACCATGACGTCCCATAGGATGCATCATCCGAGATCGTCGGTAATGAGGTTGTACTTGTCGCGGAAGCATGGTGGTCGTGGCTTCTTGAGCGCGCTCACCATGCATAATCGCGAAGTGTGCAGCCTCCGTGATTACTTCCTGGCGAGATCGGATGATCCATTCTATATGGACGTCATTTCTTGTGATAAAGGACTTACCCCTCTATCCTTAGCCAACGAGCAATGGTAAGACCCGGCAGTGCAGAGCATTTCCGACCGAGAGACCGTATGGAAGGAGAAGGAGCTCCACGGGAGGTTCTACAAGGCTCTACATGAGCCTTTCGTAGACACAGTAGCCTCCCTCCACTGGCTACGCTTTGGTGATCTCTTCGGGGAAACCGAGGGTTTTGTCTGTGCAATACAGGATCAGGTTATTAAGACCAACAACTATCGGAGATACATCCTAAAGGATGGCACCGTCGACATCTGTCGAGCTTGTCGCCATCCCGGTGAGTCACTTAGGCATGTTATCTCTGGTTGTTCGGCGCTTTCTAACTCTGAGTACTTGCACAGGCACAACCTAGTAGCCAGAATTCTACACCAGGAGCTCGCTCTGAAATACGGTCTCGTGGACCGGAAATTGCCGTACTACAAGTACTTGCCGGAAGCCGTGCTCGAAAATGATCGCGCCAGGCTCTATTGGGACCGGGCCATCATCACAGACAGGACTATTCTTGCGAATAAGCCTGATATTGTGCTGATGGAAATCCTTGTATTAATATATAATATTGGAATATAATAATAATGGAATATCCTTGACTGTGCCCGGGCACAGTCAAGGATATTTTTGGTCGACATTACCATTCCGTATGACGAGAACCTCGTGAAAGCCGAAACAGACAAGCAAACAAAATATCTGGACCTGGCTCACGAGGTGACCGACATGTGGGGTGGTCTGCCGACCGAAATTATTCCTGTAGTCGTCTCTGCAAACGGGCTAATCCCAGTCAGCCTCTCGGGTCATCTGAGGCGGCTGGGACTACGTGGCGGACCGCTCCAGGTTCAAATGCAGAAGGCGGTGCTCCTCGATACCGCCCGCATCGTCCGCCGGTTTCTTTCCCTTTCCCCCTAACCCTCGGCCGTTTGGTCTCCCCTGCCGAGGGCCTCCATCTGGTTGGGCTTTTATTTATTTATGTACTTTTATATTTATTTTATGTTATTGATATTTATGTATATTTATTTTTTTCATTTTCATTTATAATTATATATTTATAGAACCCAACCAGATGAGAAAACTATATAGATACCCCATAATAATAATGTCTTTATTTATCCTCTCACATAACATAAAGTAAAACAATGTAATTCTAGTAGTACATATACAGAATTCTATTATGTGAGAAGCTGGTGCCTGAAGTAGGCATATATAAGCCTGTAGTACAAGTCACCAGGTTCCCACCCCTCGAATGCTATGACATTGAATGAAAATATTCTAGGAAAACAATAGATAGATAGATAAACAAAGGAATTCTTATATTATTTAAAATTACAGCGAAAATCCAGGATAAAATACTAATTAAGAGTGTATTATGATATAAAATGTATAAATACATATATGAATGTATAGTACTATATATTTATGTTCGTGTAGTGTAGTGTATAGTTTGCGCATGCACGCACGCGTGCATGTGTGTGTGTGTGTGTGTGTGTGTGTGTGGGTGTGTGTGTGTGTGTGTGTGTGTGTGTGTGTGTTTGTGATTTTGGGTGTGTGCGTGTGCGTACATTATATTTATCTTGATAGGAGCGATTCCGTTAAATCATAATCTAATTTCAGTAGCCAATCATGTACGTTTTTTTTGCAATCATATTTATTTTTAGAATATATAGATAGCTTTTCATTTATTTTATTGTATAAGAATCCACCCATGTAGCAAAAGAATTTTTTTGTATATGTCTTCTTTGTTGAATATGTTGCACAAACTGTGTTTTTACGTCTAACTCCTACAAATTTATGGCGATCATAAGTAATTCCACTGTGTTGCTTCAACAAGGTATAGAGAATAAACGTAAGCATTGACAAGATAACCATTTCTTGCGTCTGTTAGGCACATTATTTTCAAGCCGTACTTAGCTGGTTTCTTTGGCATAAACATTTTGAATTTGCAGTGACCACGGAAAGCCACTAACATCTCGCCTACATAAGCACAGGTACCTATGTTGTAGATTTCTTGGCATTGCTGGATAAACGAAGCAAACAGTTCCGATATAGGAGCTGACAGATCAGCCTCTCTCCTCTGCTCTCTAGTTTCTGCATCATCAAAACGAACAGCATTCAACAAAATTTCCAATCTACTTTTACTCATTACGCAGCGATATATTTCTCTTCCAGAACCATCAGTATTATACCATGAAGTATATTGTTCGTGATTTTCTTTACAGATAGCAGAGTAGAATAAAATACCAAAAAAGGCCTTCAACTCCATGAGATCCAAATCCTGAACATTCGTTTGTTTTTGTATTGCGGTCTCATCTTCCTTATTTTTTCATTAGTATGCTGAACAATTTTTTCAAGCATCTCATCTGAGAAATAAAGCTTCCAAATATCGAGAGGTGTAGTATCATTGGTAAGAATATCTCGATATGCTGGCTTTACCCCCGGGCGCTTGTGAAACTATATTATGTCGCAGAGTTCTCGAACGACTAGTGCAAGGCGTAGAAGACCATCGGAATCGATTCTTGCCAAAAAAATTCCTTCTCGTAGTTTGTTGTTTCACGAGAGGAACCTCATCTTCTGACGAAAAGCTGTCACGCGTAACTGGCGATCTACTTCGTGAGTAAATAAAAAATGAAGAAACATCATCTTCATTTCCAAGCGGAAATTGCTCTTCTTCTGAAGACGATCCGCTCTTGCTACCTTCAGAGTCATATTCACAGTCCTCTTGGAGCACATAATCTTCCGCAACATCGAGCTCCACGTCGCTGGTATCTTCATTCAGTATCTCCTCTTCATCTGACACTTCTATTTCTAACCACCGCGCAATATTTTCGTCGTTTATACTCATTATACACCAAAACAACAAAAAACAATATCAAGACAAAATAATCACACGTGCGGTCAAGGTGACCGCTTACGAAAATGTCTTATTTATTGTAGCTGAATGCGCGCACGTTGACACATGTCGAGTTTGTCGAGCGACAGCGCGTTACTAACCGGGATTTTGGGAAGGTAAATGAACGCACACATGCGTAAGACAAACACACGTCGAGATATAAACGATTAAAAACCCGTTGCGGTCATGGTGACCGCGGGTAAGTGGTTAAGGGTCAAAAATTCCATTTCCTGCTGTTCTTTCGACACGTAATTATTGCACAATTTTCCATTTTTTAAATAATTTGCATGTGAAGTAAAGTGATGCTTGACACGAAAATTGGAAACACTTGATTGTGTTGACATTTATAGGTGTGAATTGACATGTTAGTGGCTACACGGGCTCCACCCACTGCCCCATTCTATTATATATGTATTACAGTATTCTATGCAAAAAAGTATATGGAACACATACACGAGCTCAGTGCTGTCTTGATTTCAAACACGAGCTGTCCATGCAGTGTTTCCACTTTTATATATTTTGCACTATTTTAGGGTAAATCTACTAATAAGTTGACAGGGTTTTGGATAATTTTCATTCTGGATCTCGGAATAATGATATAATATTTTATTTAGTTACATATTCATTATTCATATGAGACTACGTGTTAATTTAATTTGTAAATGAGAATGTCTTCTTCATCACAAAACTCAAGATTTTTAATTGTGAAATGATATTCAAAAGTATGATATTATTCTTTAAAATATTGAAAATTAGGTGCAATAAATAAGGCTTTGATTTTTTT